TTCATTTGGAAATCACATAAACTGAGTCTTTGCCTTTCACTTTAGCTCATTTCAGATTCATGCTCCCTGTGATAGCACAATTTTAATTAAAGACAAACAAAAACCCGAATCTCTGTCTAGAGCCAGCAGATGCTCTGGTCCATGTAGTGATTGCGGTGAGCAATGAAACTTGTTTGACCTTGTCTGCTGCTTTAAGCAAAAACATGCATTTGCTGTATAATTGCAGTTGTAGAAATTGTCCAGTTCTAGGAATCACAGAGAACTTGTCCAGATGCCCCTTTGGGGAGGCTCTTCCCTGGAGCTGTTGTGTCCCGTGCAGGGAGCTGAGGGCAGATTCCTCTCTCCCTGCAGGAATGGAGGCCATTATGTCAGAGTTCTTCAATGACACCACGACTGCGTTTTACATCATCCTCATTGTGTGGCTGGCTGACCAGTATGATGCCATCTGCTGCCACACCAATACGAGTAAGAGACACTGGCTCAGGTAAGGGCTGGCAACATCTGTGTTTTGCTCACAGCTTTATTTCATAGTGGGAAGCTTCTTTACACCCTTTCCAGCCCTCCCGAGGAGGAGGACTCCCACTCTTGTATGTTCTTGGGAGCTGCTGTACATGCCACTGTGTTTAAAAACCCGATTGCTTCCACTCTGGGTCTCGTGCATGGTGCTCTGGAATCACTCCTGCCTTCTGTTTTGCTGTGTTGAAAACTGGTTCTGTTGCAGGGGGTCTGCACCGTCGTGGACAAAGTGTCACTGCTCTGAATAGAGTGATGAGTGGAAGGAAACTCATGTTTGTCCCCCCGTGGCTGCATTCTGATACTTATTGCTTTTCTCTGCAGGTTTTTCTATCTGTATCACTTTGCCTTTTACGCTTACCACTACCGATTCAATGGGCAGTACAGCAGCCTGGCTCTGGTCACCTCGTGGCTCTTCATCCAGGTGAGTAGCTGCCGTTTCTGCTGCCGTGGTGGTGCCAGCAGGATGGAGGCAGGTGGCAGAGGGTGAATTTTTGCAGCCCGGGCTCCATGAGTGACTCCTTTCCCTCTACTTTCTCTAGCATTCGATGATCTACTTCTTCCACCACTACGAGCTGCCAGCTATCCTGCAGCAGATCCGGATCCAGGAGATGCTGCTGCAGAACCAGCAGGTGGGCCAGGGCACGCAGACCACGCTCCAAGACAACCTCAACAACAACACTACGGCCGCGCCGGTACCTGAGCTCTAGCCTCTTGGAGCCAAACGTGGTGCATGAAGCCGTGGCCAACGGGCACCCTCAGGATGCTGCCGCTGCCTCCGGTTTGGTAGCCCGGATCAGGGTGAGCAGCGACCACCCGGAGACTGCTATGGGCTCCATCACTATTGAAGTCACTTCAACATCTGTGGTTGCTGCAGCAGATGTTCCCCCTGCCACAGAGGAGGCACCAGCTACACCCCTTGCCCCAGTGCAGCAGGATGGGGCCTCTGTGCCCAGCCCTTCCCCTCCGGAGCAGACTGAGGCTGGAGAAGGGCCAAACAGCCAAGCAAAGCCCAGCAGCAAGAACTGCGTTGCAAGCAGCAGCGTGGCAGCGACCACCCCAGCCCCTGTGCCCAGCACAGCTCCGGACCATCACCCGGGCCGTGCTCCGGGGGACCGGAGCGAGAGCACCCACTGCCCTGCCCCAACGGAGAGCGCGGCGGGCTCCAGCCCGGACTCCAGGAGCCTGTCTTGAGTCCCGCTTCTCGGCAGCCCTGCGCTGCCAGGAAGGCGTTGGGATTTTGTCGGTTATTATTTCTCACCTCACCATCATCCTTAACCCATGAATTCCTCGTAGTCGGAGGCAGAGTAGCTGGGCCGGAGAAGAGGTGCTGCAGTAAACTCCCCTGAGAAACGAAACCGTGCGCTTGTGTGTGACGAGGGGTGACCGCGGGCGGCGCGGCCCCCTCCCCGGGGGCTGCTCCTCTTCGCCCCGGCCGTCCTGGTGGAGCCGCTGCCTCGGGGCAACC